CCATAAGGAGGGACCAAAGCATAACTGAGTTCATTGAGTGAATAATAAGGGAAGACTTCAGGAAGAAAGCGAATAAAGTTGGATGTTGAAATATGAACAAGAGCTGGCCAGATACATAAGGATAAGAGAATTGGGTCAATGACAACCCCACTCTGGTTAAAATGTAGAGGAATGTCAGACATGAAAGACTTAAGCCCTAGGAAACTTAGTCCAGGGCTACAAAAGTAAAATCACTGAATGAACTGGAAAAAAAGGACTTGGTCAGAATCCATTACAAATGTCTTTGATGCCAAATTAAGGGACTGAAGAGCAGATCTGATCCTGTGAGACATATGAAATGCACAATTTTCCCAAACAAAATAAAATATGGCTGACTTTATTTTCAGGAAAATGACAACGACAGCAACTTGGACCTCGGTCTACAGTGAGAGGGCGGAGGGTAGACGCCAGGCTGTGGCTGGAATGGCCTGCAGCAGTGACACAGAGGGAGAGAAGCAGCACGCAGCCTTGCTTTCCTTGCTTTCCTTGCCTGGGGATGGATTCCAGAGCCTTGTGCAAGCTCCCAGCTTTACCCTGGATATTTTTTCATTTTTTGAGACAGGGTTTCTCAGTAGCTATGGAGTCAATCCTGGAACTCACTCTGTAGACCAGGCTGGTCTTGAACTCACAGACAAAAACTGTATCTCTTAAGTGTTCTGGCAGCCATTTCACTTTTAATTACCACAGTGGTTCTCAACCAGTAAGTTGTAACCCCTTTGGGGGTCAAATGACCCTTTCATAGGGATCACATATTAGATATTCTGCATATCAGATGTTTACATTGCAATCAAAACTACAGTTATGAAATAGCAATAAAAATAATTTTATGGTTGGGGGTCACAACAACATGAAAAATTGTATTAAAGGGTGGCAACTTTAAGAGAACCCCTGAATTAAGTACCTTTCAGAAACATGAACCAGAAAAGGAACTTTTTGTTTTTAGTTAAACTTTAGAAATCCAATTCACATTAGGCAAGTTTTCACACATAATCCTATGGTGTGGAATCAGATTTTTCTGACCCTTTTAATGAAATGTTTAACAATATTCCTTTATTAAAAGTGTTCCTAACTAGAAAAATATTGTCTTCAGACTTGTCACTATAAACTTTTATGTTCCACTTTTATTGAGACAGGGTCTCACATACCCCAGGCTGGTTGGAACTTGTATGTAGCCAAGTATGGCCTTGAACCTCTGGTCCGCCTGGCTCCACTTCCTAAGTGTTGTGGTTACACCAAGGCCAGTTTATGTGGTGTTCATCCCAGAGGCTTCCTGTGCTAGTCCAGCACTCAACCAATATCACAACTTTACTTCAACCCTCAGAAGCTACTTAAAATTAGACAGGAGACAACTTACTGGTTGACACAAAACATTTCTAGTAAGTAAATTTTAGCTCACTATTTTAAGCCTTTTTTTTTTTTTGGCACTTATTTACTTTGAATGCTTCAGGAGAAGGAGCACCCACGTGCCACGTGTGTGGCGGTCAGAGGACAATTCTGTGGAAACTGTTCTCTCCTTCCAACATGTGGAGTCTGTGATCCAACATAGGCCTCATGCTTGGGAGCAGGTCCTTTCACCCCATGGGCCATTTTGAGGGCTCAAGCCTGGTTTTCTTTAAACAGAATCAATATTTTTTTCCAAACAAACAAAAATTAATGAGCAACAATTTTAAGAGGAAAAAAAAACCTTGAGAGAAATAAGCCCTGGTACCATATTGCACACCAAAGAAATTGCATATAATCATGACATCCAACCTATCAAGTAAGCTGGGAACAAGCATGATAGATGTTTCCAACACATAAAATGCTAAATGTCTGAGGGGACATACTGACCCTGATTTAATCAGCACACACTGTATACATGGATCACTTAGTACCTTACACACCAATTAAATACAAAAAGGTGGAAAACCCAGACATATTGCAATTTTACCCTGCTATAAATTTACACTACACATAGCCTACTATTAAAAATCTCATTTTGAAGGACTGTGTGTAAGTTAACACTAAAGCATATAAAATGGCTTTTCCACTGAAAGTCATTTCTTCTACTAAAGATCTAATAATTTTTGGTGTGTGTGTACAATTTTATATGCTAGAATCATTTCTCTTTAGCAGGCTCATCTCTCTCTTGCACCCTAAGAGAGTATCAAGCATCATTCATTTTATTCCTGAGCTTACCAACATAAAATCTGAGAAGAGGTGAGCTGTAATTTACAAAGACCAGTGTGTAAAATCTTCTACTATGCAAGTCTATCACAGTTAAGAACCATCACTGAAACCTTTTGTTCTTTCAAATTTCTGGTTACTAACAAACATAAAACTAATTGCACTAACAGCCCACAAGAGATTTGGGTGTTTACTAGAAATCAGGAATCCGGACCAAACAATCCAAGAAAAAAAATAAGATAAATAAAACTTATCATGGTTTGTTTTACATGTGACATAGTGGTCTGAACTAATATTTCCATATTCTAAGTGGGATTTTCTTTGGTTTGGGGGTTGGGGAGGTTGTTTGGTTTTTGAGTTTTTGTTGTTTTGTTTTGTTTCTCAAGACAAGGCTTCTCTGTGTGACCCTAGCTGTCCTGGAACTGTAGACCCAGCTGACTTCAAACTCAAGAGATCAGCCTGCCTCTGCCTCTAAATGTTTTTGTTTGGTTGTTGTTGTTTTTAAAAATCTACTTTGAAAATACAAAAGTTGACTTTATTTTATCTATTGTAACTTAGCAATTTCACTCACGAAAAAAGTGTATTTAAATCAAGATCTTTATTAGAGAGACACTGGAAAACAAACAGAACCAGGCACTAGGTTTTGTTGCAAGCCCAGCCATTCAACTCAATTCAGAAGCAGAATTATTTTTAATTTCTGTTTCCAAGCAAAATAAAAATATTTCAAATTAGAACCTTTTTAAAATTCTAGATGAAGTGAATTACAAAGTTAGCATGGGGCGGGGGATCCACCTGGATTCTTTTGTAACGACAATTTCCAATACTAGCATTGGAGTTGCTTTCCCCAAACATCCCTATGAAGAGTCCCACTGGAATAACAATTTAACTAGTAGAGTGCATACTCCAAAGACAAAGTACAACTCAATTATAGCACCTACATCCCCTGGCAAGCACTCAAGGACACATGGTAATTAAAAGAAAGGACTCCTTCAACTGAGTAGCATGGCCTCTGCAACAGTAATCACCATCCTTGAAACCTGGACAGTCCTTGTAATTTCCAGAGCACTGTACAGGAAACACTTCACGCGGTGTGTTTTGTTTTCCTCTTGTAAAATTAGCACACACACTGCCTACTTTGATGCTGGAGTTCGTCACCCAACCAATCAAATTACAGCACTATGAGACACAACCCTAAGTAGCACTTCAAATCTAAGGTGTGTGGTGACAATATGCTTTTCAAAAATGCTCCACTATCGGGAGGCAGAGGCAGGCGGATCTCTGTGAGTTCAAGGCCAGCCTAACCTACAGAGCCAGTTCCAAGACAACCTCCAAGCTGGGCGTTGGTGGTGCACGCCTTTAATCCCAGCACTCGGGAGGCAGAGGCAGGCGGATCTCTGAGTTCGAGACCAGCCTAGTCTACTGATCGAGTTCCAGGACAGCCTCCAAAACAATACAGAGAAACCCTGTCTCGAAAAACAAAACAAAACAAAAAAAAAAAAAAAAAGAGAGAGACAACCTCCAAAGCAATAGGGAAACCCTGTCTTGAAAAACCAAAAACAAAAACAAAGCTCCACTACGATCCTAAAATCTCTTTTGTACAGTCTGACACTTCTTAGGGAGATGTTCTTTCCGAGCTACAAAACCTAGGGAAAAGGTATTCCTTCCAGGATGGAACCAAAGAAACAACTGGCTTTAAACCCACCATTCCCAGGCCAGAAGCGGGTTCCACCCGTCCTGCTCTGGCCTGAAGAAGACATGCTCGATGCATTATTGTTAATGTAACAATCCATAATGCTTCCCAAGAGGTTCCTACAAATTCTCTCAACTCCTAAGAACCCATGGTTCAAGCCCGGGTCTGTCAACTCCGTTTTCTGTGCTTGATGGTCGAGGTTCTCGATAAACACAACGAAAGCACCCAGCCATTTGACAAGAGGATGGGGAATGGAGGATATAATGTTCAAGATTTCTTCCTTGAAAACGGGGGAGGGGGGGTGGCACAGGCCCTTAATCACAGGACCTGCGAGGCAGAGGCAGGAGGATCTCTGAGTTCCAGGCCAGTCAGGAGAGGACAGAGACCCTGTCTTAAAAGGGATGGGGGTGGGAAGGTACCCAAGACAGCCAAGAGGCAGAAAAGTTAGGCACCAAAGAACACTAAATCCTTATAGTATACACTTAATCTCTCCAGGGTCCAACTGCAGAATGCTGAACTCAGAACCTTAGGATGTGGAATCGGGAGAAGGTGAGCAATCCGGGTTGGGAAACCCCCAAGTAAGCCACAGGGATGCAGACTGGGCTGGCAGCGTCCAGAGAGTCAGACCCCAGGGGCCCGCCGGGACCCTCAGCGCGCCGCCACCACACGGGCGGCGCCCCCGCGAGCTTTCAAACCGCCGCCCCGGGAAGGCGCTGCGCCGATTGGAAGTTCCTCCACGACAGTCACCAGAACAGGGCCATAGCGGTAACTCTTCAGCCAAGCCCTCCCAGACCTCTGCAAGTCCCCGGGGGGACCAGACCTCTGCACTCCACCTCCAGGCGCGGTCTTCACCGGGTCGTCGCCCGCTGGAAGCACGCAGCGGCGACTCGCGGCGAGACCGACGCCCCCCGACGGGACTGCGCCGTGCGACTTGGAGGGGTGCGACCGGCCAGCGGGGGGCGGCAGCACAAGTGCCTCCGAGTCGGCCCCGGGACGCCGCTCCGCGACCCTCGCCGCCTCGCCCCGTGGGCTCCGACCCACCCAGCCCTTCGGGTCGCCCTGCGGCGGGGGCCGGGCGAGCCCACTCCCCCGCCCGCGCTCTTACCCATCTTTCCGCCTCGCCTTGTAGACGTGCCCGTAGGTGCCGCGTCCCACTTTACACCCTTCGTACTCAAACAGATCCTCCACCCGCTCCCGCTCCGCCGCCAGCTTCGCCTTGAAATCATAATCCATTGTCTGCTTCCCCCATAGAGAAACCGGGACGCGGGGGCCGCCGCCACTCAGTCCCTCCTCCGCCGCCGCCGCTCCACTTCTCCAACAGCCGCCGCTCGGGCGCGCGCGCGCCGCCCGCCGCTCCGCGGTCCGCCTTCAGCAAGGAACTCCTCGGCGGCCGAGGCAGCCACCTCCTCCGCCTCCTCCTCCTCCTCCGCGGCGGCGGCGGAGGCTCCCGCAGGCACCCACAGTCCCGCCTCCCCCCTTCATTTCCTTGTTTTGGAACCTGGTGGGCCGCGCCGCGGCTTTCTCGAACTCATTAACAAACCAAGCGGCCCGCCCCGAGGTTGCGGGGCATCCTGGGAAGCGTAGTTCCACAGGCCTCGGGAGCTGTGCTAGTCCCTCGGGCGTAAGGAATACAATTCCCAGGGTTCCCTGGGCCGTTTCGGCCACGCCTCCACAAGGCAAGAACGCCTGCGCACAGCCGCCGCCCCACCCCCTCAGGTAGCCCGCGACTCCGCGGTTCCTGTAAACTATAGCGCGAAGTTGCTGCGGGCTCTCTGCAAGCCCGTGGGAGCCTGTGGGAGGCAAGCCTCTGCTCTGCCGGAAAGGAGATAACCGGCTCCGAGTGTCCCTGGGCGAAGAAAGCGGGAAGCACCTCACGAGTGCCTTGCTCAGGAGCTCATTCCGGGGCATCCAGGGCCGAGGACCGCGATTTAGACAGTTGTACTACACATTGTTTGTTTTCTTGGGCAATTGATCCTCCTGTTGCCCCGCCCCTTGCCGCGGCTTATTGGCAGAGGCTGGAGAATGACGTCCTCTGTGGTGCGTGGGTATCTCCGGCTTTGGCTTCTTTCCCGCTCTTGATTGGCAATTGGATGTGCTCGGTTCTTCCTGATAGGTTAATCTTTTTTCTTTACGATGCAAAAAACCGTATTTCAAAACCTGAACATTCAGCGGTTTCCCAGCTCTTGCTAGGGGAACCGTGTAACTTCTCGGGCCCACAGCCAATCATCTTTTTCTTGGCGCTCTAGTCGGGTTTTATCCTAGCATATGCGGGGTGCGGTAGCCGAGCTTTAACCATCTGTCTGAGAACAATTAAAGTGCCTGGAAGATTGGAAAATGCAGCGTTTTAAAAAACGATCCTTTTTGCTGGGTTGTAAAGCGTTTTTACAGTATGTGCATAATAGTGAGGCTCACCTAAGGGGATTAAGAAATTTATCGTAATCATGGCATTGATTCGTTATGGTGCCTCAAAATATGACTGTAAGAGCCTAGAAAGTGCCACGCTAAAAATGCGTCCCTCTGCATGTTGATTAATTTTAAACTAAAAGAAATGGAGATCCATCCAGCACACGAGTTCCAACTCCTCTCCACTACCCAAAATAAAATAAAAGGGAACTTTTTTTTTTTTTTTTTTTTGTAAAGAGAATGTTAGCCGGGCGGTGGTGGCGCACGCCTTTAATCCCAGCACTCGGGAGGCAGAGGCAGGCGGATCTCTGTGAGTTCAAAGCCAGGCTGGACCGACAGCCTCGAAAACAATACAGAGAAACCCTGTCTCGAAAAACCAATAAATAAATAAATAAATAAATAAATAAATAAATAAATAAAGAGAATGTTAAATTTATAACAAATTTTGTAAGGCATCTTTATCAGTAAGGCAGCTTAGCTATTCGTACACAACATTACTGTTGGAAAGGCTATCTTTATTCACTTCTCTCACCTTACCTTAATTAGTCTCCACTACCTACTAAAACTTCAAATTCTTGTTCCTTTCTGTATGTCATGAGCTTCAATCATCTGTCCTTTTGGTTTTGTTTTGTTTTTGTTTTTTTCGACAGGGTGTCTCTGTGTAGCTTTGGAGCCTATCCTGGCATTTGCTCTGTAGACCAGGCTGGCCTCGAACTCACAGAAATCCACCTGCCTCTGCCTCCCGAGTGCTGGGATTAAAGGCGTGCGCCACCAACGCCCGGCCATCTGTCCTTTGAGTTAGGTTTTGTAGAACTCCTGTTCACACATCTACAACTAACCTTGTAGACAAGATGGAGGATATTTGTAGTCCCTCCTGCTCTTGGCAGAGTCAAGGAGAATCAATCTCTTGAGCACGGGAGTTTGGAGACCCTAGGTAGTTCTGCTCATTGGGTTTGTGCCATTTTAATTTGCAGACTAACCAAGCAATTTAGAAATATAGAGTGAAGTTATTTCTCCTCCCCTATAATGGCATGACTCACATATTACATGCTCAGATGCAAATGTAAACATGGCTAGTGCTGGGATAGGGTTCATATGTAACACTGAGTAGGAGAACAAAAGGAGGAATGGTCAGTTCCTCCTGAAGCAATATGGGTAAAGTATGGAGCATTGCCTGCTAGGTTTTTCAGAAACTCCTGTAAAACTAGAGTGGAGTTGCTCTTTTTCCTACCACAGCCCTTTCTGAGTTACTTCCTCAAATCTTGAGGGTCGAGGTTTTATTTCAGTCAAGAATCAGTGTTGGTGCTGACAACGTAGCTCTCTCGGTGGACTGCTCGTCTAGCATGCGCAAGCCCTGGCTTCAATCCCACGCACCACACACATTCAGGCATAAAACCATGCATTCCTGGACCCCCAGCAGTGGAGGTGGAGGCGGGAGGATCGGGAACTCAAGATCATTCTCACGTACAAAGAGAGGGAAAGGGAAGGGAGGAGAGGAGGAGGAGAGAAGAAAGAGTCCCACTTCACTGAGTATTGTACTTCTAAACAAACAAAGATGTCGGCAACTTTAAAATGAACTGCAAGGGCACAGAGCACAATGGTAAAGTAGGAAGGCTAACTTCCAGGCTGGGTGGGCAGCCTTCATTAGGAAGCAGTGTGAGCTAAAACTTAAAGAGTGAGTAGAGCCTTGAAGAACCAGTGAGAAAGCAGGGAGCATAAACCCATCAATCAGAACAGCCTGTGCTCTTGTCACAACACGACACATTATGAGAAAGTAACTAGTAGGGCTGGAGAGATAGCTCAGCCATTAAAGGTCAGGCTCACAACCAAAAATATAAGAGAAAGCAACTAGCTTGAATACTGCAGATTAAGCCGAAGAAAGGAGTGGACAAGACAAATGAGCAGGTGTCAAATTATAAGTCTGTATGATCAATGCCTGAGGTTGTATTGTTCCATAAGTAATAAGAAGGCATTAAATATTTGTCGGTCTGTTTCAGGGACACACTATGTAGGCCAGACTAGCTTCAAACAAAATCCTCCTGCCTTGGCCTCACAAGTGCTGCATTACAAATAAGTACTACAATGCCACACCAAATCCAGTAGATTGTGTGTGACAAGTTCCACAGTCAAAGGTGATAACTTCAAAAGAAGGAGGTCTCCTGCAAAAGGTTGTGGAGCGCTCAGCCAGAGAAACATACTGGGCTGTGATTCTTACGGCAATTTCTGTTTGTCCTTCTATTCCTTATTTTTTTCACATTGATGAACTGTTCCTGAAAGCCTATGCTGACGTTTTAAACAAACAAAAAAGATAAGAAGCCATCCCCTAAGATGGGGTCACTAGCAGTGACCTCATCTCCAGAAAAACCGGCACTTTCTAAATCATTCATGTCATTCACATAAGTACAAATAGTAAAAACTTCCCCAACAATTAAATTTCATATGGCTGTACATGTGTCATCGAGAGTGGACTTAAGCGTCTGGTAAAGAAAACTTTTGATAAGAAGGAGTTAAAATAGTTGAAATAGCTCAATATTTTAAAACTCACAAGAACTAGGTAATAGATGTTAAACAATAACCATAAAAATTTATTAATTTGATTTAAGAAATATGTGGTTAACCCTGAATGTTTTTATGTTTTGGATTTCTGCTTTACTGTGCCAAGTAATGATAATGTCATATGTTTGGGTTTGCTTAACAAAAACATCCCTCCTGAGAAAATATCTCTATAAAAAAAAACATGCTTGAGAACTGCAAAATACACTCAGATTCAAACTGCCTCTGTGTTTGTTTCTGTTTGTCACTGCTGAATCCTTACCTGCCTCGTCTTCAAGGACCCTTATCCCAGGGACCCCCATAGTCCGTGAGGTAGTCCGTGGCATTATAGCCAGTTTAACAAAGATTTCTGAGCTAAGGAAAAATAGAATCCTCCTGGCAATCTTGTTCAGGAAAGATTCAAGGAAAATGCCAGTGAACACAAACTGGGTAGCAGTGTGCATTATGAGGAGGGAGCAGTCTTATATACAGGCTTACAGCGCATGAAGGAGAATCCTTAATGGTTCCAACTTCTGGTGACAGTCTACACTCAGCTTTATAGCAGATTAACTCCAGTCCCCACCTTGTAAAGGGAAAGCCTTCCCAGCAGCCTGGTTCTAGAGCCGCATCAGTCCCAAATGAACACGCAGGAGGCTATATTAATTATGAAGCTGTTGGCCTTGCTTTTTCTTACTGGCTAGCTCTGACTTAAGTATTTACCCCATAATTGTTAATCTAAGTATTTCTCTTACCGGAGAAATTTTGGGGCTTCCTACCCCATGGCGGTTACATCTCGACTTCCTGTGTTTCTCCTTCCCAGAGTCCTCCTGGATTCCCAGTCCCACCTATCTTGGTTCCCTATTGGCCAACAGTGCTTTATTGACATATACACAGGACTTCTCCCATCATCTCCTCTCTTCTGTCTAAACAAAAAGAAAGGTCTTAACTTTAACATAGTCAAATTATATATAACAGAACAGTTATTAAGTAAGAACACAGTTACAACATTTTGTCTATCAACATTCAGCAAGATTTAAAGAAAATATCATCCATCCCATCCTTGAGAGTTGAAAGTCCTATATGTAGCTTATCTTTAATCGTAACTAAGGAAAACTATAATTATAACTATCTGTCTTCAACTCCATCAAAGACCACAGAAGGATAATATATAAACACTAGGATTGACAGAGACATCTTACTGCCTGGACAGTCACCCGAAGTTCCTCTGTAATGTTGGGGCATCCATCTTCAGCCCATAGGCCACAATGTGTCCAGAAGATTTCTCAGCAAAGCAGGAAATTTCTAACTGTCCATCTGCATTGGCAGTCTGTCAGTCATTTTTCTGTGTCCTTCAGAAAGTCTCGTAGACTCTTCCATGAAGCAGGAACCCTGAATGACTATTTGAGTTCAACAGTCACTTTCCTGTGGGTCCTGCATATCCAGTTTATACAGCAATAGTCAAACAGTCTAGGTAAGAGCAGTTTCTTGCCCAAATGGCTAATCTTGCCATGTTGAAAGCAAACCCCATAACGAGTTTCTTCGATGCCTATCTTCCTCTCAGACGTAATTT